AAAATTTGCCTGCGGAGGGATTCCATCTAAGCCAGGTTTGCAGCCACGCCGCCTTGACGAGCCGCAAAGGGCAGCTGATACATCGCTGAACTTGACCCCGACCGAACCAGCCCATGGCTCCTCTGCGGCTTCTCCCTGGCTTCTCACTTTCTCTTCTAACGAGCGTGACACAGTTATTTTAAAATGGCAATAAAAGCAGCACAGATGACACACAGACACAGGCACGCGTGTGTAAGTATACATGTGTATGGGAACATGGCACAGACGAGAGCGAGCTCCGGCTTTTTCTTCTTGTCGCGTGGAAAAGCCAACTAGGAAATACCGAGAGGCCCCGCAGTCGCCCAGCAAATACGTCCACGGAGCCTTTCCCACCTCAGAGGAACTCTGAGAGCAGCAGCCAACCTCGTGCCCCCCCCAACCCATCACAAACCCAGGAACGCGCGATGTCTCGAGGCTTCCTTGAGGGTTTCCCAGTAAAGGAGCACGCGTGCACCCCCAAAAAAATTGCTCCAGGAGGGTGCGTGGCTGAGAGGGCAGGGAGGGATGGGTGGTGGGGGACGGCAAGACCTACCTGCTCCAATGACCTCTTCGATCTTCACAAAGGAGACATCAATCTCCTTGGCGAACTCTCGGACCGCCTCGTTGGGGTCCTCGTAAGTGAAGGGGTCGATGTAGATCTTCATCCCTGGAGACCCTTGTCATCAGAAATTTGGGAGCGAGGGCAAAAGGGCAAAAGAAAAGCGAGAGCAGTTGTGCCGCGGCCAGGAACTGGAGATCCCGGTGTCCTCGCGCTCTCCGTACACTGGTTAAGACAGCGGCTATCGCCGTGCTCACCCGCACCACCGCCATCGACCCTTATCCTCCTCGTCGGTCCCCCCTGCTCCACCCAGTCCCCTCCGCTCCTCCTCTCTTGTCCCTCCTCTTCCTCCCCGCTGCGACGGGGAACAGCTACAGACCCAAATTAGCTGGCTTTACGGCGAGGGCTTTACGAGGCTCCATGCATTAATGAAGAAATCTTTAGTTACCCAAAAAGGCCTCTGATAGTTTTGTGGCCGCTCCTAAACGGACAGAGTGCGGCAATTATAATCAACAACCTGTCCGGGGCCAGGAAATACGGCAGCGCGTGGCAGCAGGATCCGGCCACGCCGCAGCCTGGACCGCAATTGGGCTCTTGCCCTTTTCAAATGGGGGAAAGCCAAAACAAGCCCTCCCCCCCCCCAGATTCCCCAAACGGGGTTCGCAGACATCGCCTTCGGACGCCCTGGGGCTCGCAGAGCTGCCAGGGGGGGAACGGCCATGGGGCAGAGCGCGGCCAGCACCGTCCCCAGGGCTCAGCGGGGTCCCAGAGAGGGCTGCGGTCCCCCGTTGGGGGTTCAGCCTCCCATACCATTCCTCACCCAAAAAGGGGGCCGGAGAAGGCGCAGCAGCCCCTCGAGGTCACCTCTGGAGGACACCAGGAGGGACGTCGCTGCCTGGTCCTCCTCCCCGAGGTACTGCGGCGTTACAGCGATGAACGGTGTTTGATTACGCTATTAATGACCTCGGCAAGGGCCACGATCCCATCGCGCTGGCGCTTCCCGGAGCCTTTGTAGAGCTGACGCGCGGACGGACACACGGAGCGCAGCATCGCCTCTGCACGGCTCCGCGCCGGGAATCTAAATCGGCTCCTGACTGCCCTGCAAGTTTGCCGGCAAGTAATTTGGGAGGAGGCGCGAAAGCCTGGCAGTGGGGCACCGCTGGTGCAAAACAGGCACCGAGGGAGAACCGCGTGCGGGGGCCCCCAGGACTCAGCAGGGACCAGGCAGGAGCATCCTCGTCCTCAAAAAGGGCTTTTGGGGCAAAAGTGCCTCGGAGGCGGGCGAGAAAGGCTGCGATGAAGCCATCTGTGCATCTCCCAGTTCATAAATCCCTTTACGGCTCTGTCTCATACACTTTAACTGCCCCATAAATTTTTTTACAAGAGCAGCTGATGCTCCAGCCAGGATTACAAAGGGATTTACAGGATCGTAACCGAGACTGACTCGCTGATCAAAATATTGAAGAAATAAAGGAGACAATAATGCCAAAGTTCCCTGCCCACTGTCAACACGGGCGGGTTTTCAAACACCCTCCGATGCGCCCCGGGGTCTGCCCGCAGGCTCTGCGAACACCAGGTTCAGCTCCCTGCTAATCTCCTGCGTTTCCCATCCGAATCCCGAGCGGGATTAGGGCACCTAAAACCGCTTCTCGTCTCTGCAAACCTCAGCCACCGGCTTGTCATCACCACGCGGCCAAGAGCTGGGCGAAACACGGGGTACCGGGGAGCAGCGTCCAAGGTAAGGTAACCCGCACTGCGCCTGTCCGCAAAGAGAGCTTCGTGCTCTTAAAATCGCCCCGATACTCCTAGAAACCGGATTAGGCCATTTATCACTACCGCAGATGAAAGCAAATTATTTATCACTCTCGAAAAGTCGAAGCACCCTGCGCCGCAACCCTGACTTCAGCGTCAGGTCCCTCCCGACATCATTTTTCCTTGGGAATAAATATCATCGGGACAGAGCAGAACCCTCGCCTGCCGAATCACCGCCGCTTTAGCAGGGCTTTCCCTCTTTCCCCTAGCTCAAAGCTCCTGGCGAAGCAGCGGCAGAGAGAAAGCATGAGAAATTACATCCTGAGAGACCCCCACCTCACCCCAAAACCCACCCGGGGAAGTCCTCGCCAGCAGCCGGAGGGCTCCGGGGAGGGACGGCAGAGCCGCGCCGGGGAGGCTGTAATTGCCGTGCCGCTAAACACGGGGGTGATTTGTTCCGGCGGATGCGCTCGTTACTCCATTAGTCGCTCGCCACAAATTTCCCACCTGTTTTGCTCCAGCGTCTGCAATAACCAAGCGCCTGGAGGCTCACTAACCTTGAAAGGGTTTTGCCGCGCGTCCGGGAGCGCTGGCACCCCCGGCTTTTGGGCACTGACCCTCACGTCGCCCGGCTTTAAAAACTAAACACAGACACCCACTTCCTTGCTTTCCTACCGGGTTTGAGCACCCTGGGGTGTTTGGGGTGAGCTAGGGATGCACACGGGGTGAGGAATGTTTCAAAAGGGGAAAAAAAAAAAGTCCACCTGCAGCCAGACAGAGGTTTAGCCATCAGGCATGAAATAAATCTTCTCTTGCCACCCACGGCGCCGAAATGCAATGGAAAAAGGGAGGAAAAGCAGAGGACTGTCATATTTAAATATCACCCGGTGACGTTTG